CTCGATGGCACCTGACAACAACAACAACAAGAGGCTAGACATGTTAACATGGGTGACAGGGCAAGCAATATACAACAAGAGAGAGGTTAGCAGAGGAAGGATAAAGGCAGCAGGAGACACAGTGAGGAATGTAATACATAAAGTAAATAGAGATAAATACTGGTAACTGATGGTACATGAAGAGAATTACAACCATGTAATAAAGCAAAATATATGATTTGTTTAATATAAAACTGATGATCTGCCCTGTAAACCTTCACTCAGTTCACAATAAAAAGATTTAAAAGAAAAAAACAACTTGGTTTACAAATGTAGAAGGGTTAGGTACTCTACTTGAGATACATACAAAAGTCTTTAAGGGCCCAGCAGGAGAAAAAAATGTTCAATGTTTTCAGAGGACAATTGAGGAAATATCAGAAGAATAATGTAGTGTATCTTCTGTGATATATAAAATCTTTTTCTTCTCAACCTTTCTCAAAATTATTCCTTTCTCATCTATAATATAAAATTTTAAATATGACTGTCATATTACTGGACAGAAAAAAACGGTTCTCACTCAGTGGGATGAACAATAGAAGAAAAATTACATGTGCAAGTTTTTCTATTATCAGATAGCTTAACAAAATGTCCCTATCTTGAAAACTAGGTCACCAGTATTCAAATAGGGGTACTGAAGGATTCTGGACTGACAAAAGTTGGACCAAAAATATGATTATGTGCATAGCTTACCTCCTCTTGGGATCTCTAAAGTAGTGGCATTTATCATTAAGTTTGGTTCATTTTCATCTTGTCAGTGGTACATCAGTTGGCAAACTTGAAGTGTTACTGCTTAATGGTTAATATCTAAACTGTAGGCAACTGTAAGCCACTTCCCTCAGTATGGTCTTCTTTCTTCTTTTAAAGGCCAAACATGCTGCAGAAATAGGAGCTGATGGCATTGCTGTTATTGCACCTTTCTTTCTCAAGCCATGGAACAAAGGTGAGTAGATAGGTCTTAGTGTCCTGGGGCTTTTAAGATAGGATTTTGTTTGCTCACAATTTTGAAGGCTAAAAGTCAAGCTGAGAGTCTCGGCGGTGCAGAATCTGTTGGCTGGCTTTGACAGAGGAACTGTTGTATGCCCCTCTCCTTATTTCTCATGGCTGCTGACAGTCCTGGGTGTTCCCGGACTTGAGGATATATCTTCACATGAAATCTTCCTTCCCTGTGTGTGTGCCCCTTTATGTCTGTTTGCCTTCTGCATCATTCAATTAATTTGAATCCTTCAATAACAAAAGTCGAGGCTTGATTTTTTTCTTCAGTTCCCTCAGCTTGAGAAATGCTGAACATGTTCTTCCTTTTTGGTTTTCTGACTCCAGATCTTTGCACATTTTGTTATAATATTTGACTTTGTCTTCTCAAACTGACCTTTGAAATTTTCTGTTCAACTCTTCTTTTCAGCTCCTTGTTTCTTCCATTTGCTTTAGCATCTCTACGCTGGAGAGCAAGTTTCAGTGTCTCTTCTGACATCCATTTTGATCTTTTCTTTCTTTTCTTCTTAATGACTTTTTGCTTACTTAATGTATGATGTTCTTGATGTCATCCCACATCTCTTCTGGTCTTTGTATCAAATCTGTTCTTCAGATGATCCCTAAATTCAGGTGGGATATATTCAAGGTCATATGTTCACTATCGTGGACTTGTTCTCATTTTCTTCAGCTTCCATTTGAATTTGCATATGAGTAATCGATGGTCTGTTCCACAATCTGCTCCTGGCCTTGTTTTCACTGATGGTATGGTGCTTTTCCATCGTCTCTTTCCACAGATATAGTCAATTTGCTTTCTGTGCATTCCATCTGGTGAGGTCCATGTGTATTATCGTCTGTTATGCTGTCTAAAGAAGGTATTTGAAATGAACAAATCTTTGGTTTTGCAGAATTCTATCCAGCATCATTTCTATCACGCAGACCGTATTTTCCAACTACTTGTCCTTCCTCTTTGCTCCCAACCTTTGCATTCCAATCACCAGTAATGAGCAATGCATCTTGATTGCATGTTTGATCAATTTCAGATTGAAGAAGTTGGTAGAATTCTTCTATTTTATCCTTACTGGCTTTAGTCGTTGGTGCATAAATTTGAATAATAGTGGTATTAACTGGGCTTCCCTGTAGGCACATGGATATTATCCTATCGTAGACAGTGTTGTACCTCATGACTGATCTGGATATGTTCTTTTGACAATGACTGCAACACCATTCCTCTTCAATTTGTCATTCCTGGTATAGTAAACCATGTGGTTGTCAGATTCAAAATGGCCAATACCAGTCCATTTCAGCTCACTAATGCCTAAGATATTGATGTTTATGCATTCCATTTCATTTGTGACAACTTCCAATTTACCTACATTCATACTTCGTACATTCCATGTTCCAATTATTAATGGATATTTACAGCTGTTTCTCTTCATTTTGAGTTGTGCCCCATCATTAAATGAATGGGGCTTTACTCCATTCGTGTCATCAAGGTCAACTCTACTTTAAGGAGGCAGCTCTTTCCCCATGGCATTTTGAGTGCCTTCCTACCTCAGGGGCTCATTTTCCAGCACTATATATAACAGTGTTTCTTTGCTATTCAAAAGGTTTTCAGTGACTAAATATTCGGAAGTAGTCCATCACGCCTTCTTCCTAGTCTGTCTTCATCTGAAAGCTCATCTGAAACCTGTCCACCATGGGTGACCCTGCTGGTATTTAAAATACCGGTGGCATAGCTTCCAGAATCACAGCAACACACATGCCACCACAGTACAACAGACTGACAGTGGGTGAGCAGAGAAGTAGGGGGACCTTATACCTCCAAGAAAGAAGAGCAGGGAATGGAGTGCATCCTTTGGACCTGGGGTCCCTGCACTGTGAAGCTCCCAGATTCAGGGAAAGATTGATGCCAAGACACATGGAGATCTCAGAGGAATGCTGGGTCTACAGATGCTGAAAGGAGACGAGGGCCTTTCTCCTGTGATAGTGCTCTGAACTTGGACTTCTAGTCTCCTAAACTGTGAGAGGATACATTTCTGCATGTTAAAGCCATTCACTTATGGTGTTTCTGTTATAGCAGTACTAGATAACAAAGACATTAATATAGATAAAGTAATTAAAATTTTGCTAATTTGGGGATTTACAAGTTTTTTTCACATGGTTTTTAGAAATTTTATATGAATACTTTTCCTTAAAAGTGAACAAAGGAAAAATAGTGGATTATAAAAAATTCACACATGAGGAAACATTCATCATAGACACAATCACAGTATTTAGATGGAGTGTATAAATTTTCTCTCCTGCTCTCCAGTGATCTCCAACTTGCAAGCAACTCTGCTGCCTTTATTTGTCACCTGTGGCAGTGTTGCATTTGCAACTCACACTGGATGACATGGAGGAAATCCCAGTTCTTGAGTAAACTAGTATGAATGATTATCTCATGAATCTGAATTTCTCCCAAAAGGAAAAAGTACCAAACTCTGGTTGAATTAGTGTGAGGTTTGTCACTACACTTCTTAAGCACATGTTGTTCACCTTTTTGTTACAGAATCTTCTCAGGTATAATCTTACTACTCTGTTCCTAATGCAGGCCTCTTGCTCACTGACCACAGCCCTTCTGGAGTAAGAGGATAAGAATTCTGCCTCTCAATGAATGTTGTTGTTGTTAAGTGTCGTGGAGTCAGTTCTGTATTATAGCGACCCTGTATAGAATTTCGAAAGAGTGGGTTTGAACTACTGACCTTGTAGTTAGCAGTCAGGGGCTTATCCCACGGTGCCACAGGTGCCGTCAAGTTAGTTCTGACTCATAGCAAATCTATGCAAAACAGAATGAAACACTGCGCAGTCCTGTACCAGCCTCACAATTACTATTATGTTTGAGCCATTGTTATTGCCACTGTGTCAATCCATGTCATTGGATATCTTACTCTTTTTTAAAGACCCTCCACTTTTCCAAAACTGGTGTCCTTCTGCAGAGACTGTTCCCTCCTGACAACATGTCCAAAGTACAAGAGACTTAAGTCTCGTCATCCTAGCTTCCAAGGAACATCTGTCTCTAATTTTTCTAGGACAGATTTTTGTTTTTCTGGTAATATTCTTTTCCAATACCATAGTTCAAATGCATCGATTCGTCTATGATGTTTGATATTCATTTTCTAATTTCTGCATGCATATGAGGCTATTGAAAATACTGGGACATGAGTCAGGTGCATCTTAGTCCTCAAACTGATATTTTTGCTCTTCAACACTCTAAAGAGGTCTTTTGCAGCAGATTTGACTAATGCAGTATATCTTTTAATTTCATGGCTGCTGCTTCCATGAGTGTAGATATTTGGTCTAAGAAAAATGAAGTCTTTGACAGCTTCAGTCTTTTCTCTATTTATCATGATGTTATTTACTTGTCCATTTGTGGGGGTTTTTGTTTTCTTTACACTGAGGTGCAGTCCACACCGAAGGCTGTAGTCTTCATCAGTAATTATTTCAAGTTCTCCAAACTTCCAGCAAGCAAGTTGAGTCTTCCTTCTTATCATAGTTTAGTGTGACATCTTCATATCACAGTTTAGTCGTCCTTCAAACCTGATACCATGTTCTTCATATAACCCAGCTTCTCTGATTATTTGCTCAGCTTACAGATTGAATAAGTATGGTGAAAGGATACAACCCTGGTGTACACCTTTCTTTATTTTCAGCCATTCAGAATCCCTGTTTCTGTTCGAATGACTGCCTCACAAGCACAATTAAATGCTCTGGAATACCCATTCTTTGCAATGTTATCCATAGTTTGTTTTGACTCACACAGTCAAATGCCTTTGCATGGTCAGTAAAACACAAGTAAACTTCTTTCTGGTATTCTCTGCATTCAGCCAAGATCCGTCTGATGTCAGCAGTGATATCCCTAGTCAAATATACTCTTGTGAATCAGCCTTGAATTTCTAACAACTCCCTGTCAATGTACTGCTGCATTCGTTTTTTTTTAAGTTATCTTCAGCAAAATTTTACTTGCATTTGATATTAATGATACTGTTCGATGATTAAGTGGCAGCACTTAATCACCAAAGACAAGGTGGGCGTGGTTACCTTAATAGACAGCAGCATCAAAGCAGTAATCAGAATAGTGTGATTCATGTGGATTTATGGCGTGGTTACTGTAATGGACAGCAGGATCAAAGCAGTAATCAGAATAATCTCACTCATGACTAATTAGACAGGGTATCCCTGGGAGTGAATTAGATGAGAAACCTACTAAATATTTACTTGATTTGTACAAGAGGAAGAACTCTGGGTCAAACGAATGATAGTCTAACTTGAACCACCAGAACAGAGTCAAGGCCTCTCAATCAATTCCACATTCTATTGGGTCACCTTTCGTTGGAATGGGTACAAATATGGATTTCTTCTGATCGGTTGGTCTTAGAAATGTCTTGGCATAGATGACTGAGCACCATCAGCACTATCTCCGTTTGTTAAAACATTCCCAGTCAAATTTTGAGTGCCTTCCAACCTGAGGGACTCACAGCTATTCATAAGTTTTCCATGGCTAACCATTCAGAAGTGGTCCAGCTCTCCTTCCATAGTCTGTCTTAGTCTGGAAGCTCATCCATGGGTGACCCTGCTATTATTTAAAACATTGGTGGCATAACTTCCAGAATCACAGCAACATGCCAGTCACCACAGTATGACAAATTGACGGATGAGTGGTGGCCCAATGGATGGGCTTTGGGTTTTTGTTAAAAGATTCGATGATCTCCTCTTAATGTGTGGGAACATTGATACCAATTTTTTAATAAGTTAGTATACTAGGAAAGTAATCACCTTATCTTGGCCTCTTCACAAAAAGGGAAATAAGGTTTTGGATAAAATGAATCGCAAAAACATTGTAGTAGCAGTATCAGTTGGTAAGTGTAGTCAAGAATTTTCGGCTTCTGAGAATGCTGATTACATTTCTTTAGATGACTTTGTTTGTTTGTTTGTTTTAACCAGGTGACGAGCACCCCTGCTTTTCATTGGTTCACACCATGGCTTTCCTCTTGTTTTTCAGATGTCTTGATTAATTTCCTAAAGGAGGTGGCTGCTTCTGCCCCTGCATTGCCATTTTATTACTATCACATTCCTGCCTTGACTGGGGTAAAGAGTAAGTACTGAGCCTTTTGATGGTCCTTTCCTTACACTGCTCACATTTTACCCTGTTTTGCTAAATAAGCCCTATTTTGCACAACTTTTCCCCATCTGTAACTAGACAATTTGGGTCTCTCCAAAATAAATAACATGAATATCGCAGTCCATTCAAGCATTTACACCAACTTATAATGGAAGTTCTTAAGCATAAGATTTGGCCACTAGTTATTTTTAGCAGACATAGCTGTCCCTTCAAACTTGTGTCTCTATCACATACACAACCCTACTTACATGGGAAGGACAGAGATTGTATCTACCCTGTATTCTCCTCCTAAGCTACTCTACTGATACATAGGAAGGTACTCTTGTGATTTCTCTCTAAACTTTTTTTTTGAATCATTACTTAAGACCATGTATTTTTAACATTCTTAAAAGAAAAAATAGGGGCGTGCTTTATAAATATCCACATTTTGCCTTCAAGCAAATGGAAACCTTAGGGCTATAATTTGGTAAGAAACTATTAGTTGGGAACAAGTAATGATGTCTACACCACAAACCATGGCAGTTCAGTGGGGATGTGTGGGGCTATGGGATACTATGTGCTATTTTCTAAAGGTATGCAAATCAATGAAACACTGATTGTTTTACACAGTTCGTGCTGAGGAATTGTTGGATGGGATTCAGGATAAGATCCCTACCTTCCAAGGACTGAAGTTCAGTGATACAGATCTCTTAGACTTTGGGCAATGTGTTGATCAGAATCGCCAGCGACAGTTTGCTTTCCTTTTTGGGGTGGATGAGGTAAGTCACTGCTGGCATACCTCAGCAGGTCACTTTCCTTCCAAAGCAATTTATGTAGCTATTTACTTGGTAGCCTCCCCCACCGCCACCCCACAACCCCGCCCTTCTCTTTTTCTTTAAAGTGAATACTCTTTATCTCTTTCTGATTAGCAATTGTTGAGTGCACTGGTGATGGGAGCGACTGGAGCAGTGGGCAGGTAAGCATGACTCATTTTTCCCATCACCTCTAACTGTAATGTCCCCCCATAAAGGCATTCATCAAGTATCGTTTGAGCCATTAGACTTCCTGCAGGTGATGTTGTTAGGTGCCTAGAGTCGGCACTGACACAGAGTACTCCCATATACCAGAGAACAAAAGGTTGCCTCGTTCTGCGCCATCTTCATAATCGCTTGATCTGCTTGAGTCCAGTGTTGCAACCACTAGGGGGCTCATTTTCCACATAATAAAAAAACACAAACCAGCTACTATGGGCGGGAGAAAGATGAGGCTTTTCTACATCCATAAAGATTTACAGCCTCAGAAACTCTATACAGGGTCGCTGTGAATCGGAACAGACTCTACGGCACTTAACAACAACAAGAAGTTGCCTCCGGGGTCAGTTCTTACTCCTGGCAATTCTGTGTGTCACAGTAAAACTGTGCTTGATGCATAGGCTTTTCTTTGGTTCTTTTTTGAGAAGTAGATTGGAAGATCTTTCTTCTGAGCTACCTCTGAATATAAACTTCAGCCTTTTTGTTAGCAGCTGAGTGCATTAACTGTTGCACCACCCTGGGACTCCTCCAGCATTCTATTGGACAATACTCTCTTGTGAGCCATACGATTTGGGTTGGTTAACATTCAAAAGTAGACTTACAGACCTTTCTTCTTTGTCTGTCATAGTATAGAAACTTAAATGACACCTGGCCACCATGGATGACTCTGATGGTATTTGAAATACTGGTGGGATAACTTCCAGCATCATAACAACATATGACAGATAGATGGTGGTTCTTACATGTATATCCAATCTAATAGAAATTACTCTTCTTTCCATCATTCTTCAAGTGAAAGGGAATTTGTAGTTTGTTAGAAACTCAGTTATTGTTACTTAACAACATTTGTTGAAGTTGGAGGTGAGACATATGAGAAGCTGAGAGCATGAAAAGGGTTGTCACTTAGCGGGATCCAGTCCTTAGCTCTGTCGGCCTCAGTATGGGCTCATACTGTCTTTGTCAGAAATGATTTGGTTACAAATAACAGAAATCCATTTATATGTAAAAGAAGACAAATTAGTTTTTTAAAAAGTACTGGAAACTTACACAAAATTCAAGATGTGGAAGTGCAGGGAGGCCTCAGAGGGGTGAGAACCAGGACCTATGAAGCTCCTAACAGCAAGCCTGCTCATTCTGCATTGTGGGCCACCCAGAGGCGAGAACCTCTGCGTCTACCTACATTTTCCATCTCTCCCTTTCTCCAGATGGATTTTCTCTTCTCCAGCATTTGCATGGCCAATCATGACTGCCTGAACATGGCATCTCAGGATATCACTCCATAGCACAACTTGCTTGTCCACCCAAAGTCTAGTCAGCTGTGCCCAGGGAAGCAGAATCTTGTAGCCCTAAGCAGAAGGCCTGATGTGGTACTATAGGATAAGCACTGAACTGCTAACCATAAGAACAGTGGTTCAAATCAGCTGCTCCTTAAAACCCTAGACTGGGTCGCTATGAGTTGGCACTGAACAGTGACAACAATCAGAAGGCCTAGAAAGAGCAAGCAAATAGCATATCTACTGCACATGCTAACCTGATTCATTAGAAGTATGACTGCAAGTCGATTGATTGAAATATTTCCATTAATTTAAGTATCCTCTATAGCAAAAGCTGTTCCATGAGAGAAAGATGAGGCTTTCTGCTCCTGTAAAGATTTCCAGCCTCGGAAACCCTGTTACAGGGTCGCTATGAGTCAGAACCAACTCAACAGCACATAACCACCACCACCATAGCAAAAGTATTTGTTGTTGTTGTTGTTAAGTACCATGGAGCAAAAGTATAGACAAAGCAAAATAATATTTATAACCTATCTTGGCAAGCATGGCTTTGATGCAGAGAGATTGAGTCAGATTGTTCTAATGGCTTGTTCACCAAGCCAGGGTGCCTGCTGCACCCATCATCTCTGCAGACACGGTTGACCAAGGAAGCCCGATGCCTGTGTCTGCTCACCTTGGACCTTCGTTCTCTGGAAATTTTCACTTCTTGATTCGATTCCCATTTTTGCTGTTGTTTTTTTGCCTCCATATTATCCATTTTAGTCCTGTAGATTCAATTTTTCTCAGACTCAGCAAAGTACAGTTGGTTAGACTTCAGTTTTTCTTAATTCCTCTCTGTCAAAGTGAGAATACACCTAAGTGAGAATAGACCACTGGGATACAAATTTTAGAATTCTGAAACCCTGCTGACGTCCACGTCTATATTGTGACTTTGGGTTGTTTTACTGGTACAAATGACTCATCGCAATTATTATATTTTCTTTTATTCCTTACTTTGTTTATGTTCTGGGAATCTCTTGCTGTTGACTCCAGGATCCATCTACATATACAAGAACCAACAACATTGTGTTCTTGGCACATCAAGATCAATACATTTTCTATATTGATTGCATATTATGCTAGAAGCCATTTAACCTCTATGTGCTTTAGTTTCTCCGTGAAAGAAAATAGGGAAACACCCTTTTTATGAGCCTTTACAATCCTCAACCTTGTAGATTTGTCTAAGATTTCAGTGGTTAGTTAGTCTTAGACATTTGTCCTTACTGGTAAAACTAGAGATGTTCTTCTAAGTTTCCCAAAATGTATCAGGTCCTATAAGTATTCTCACTTTCATTTCTATTGAGTTGACAGGATGGGGTGTCTTTGGGATAACTCTGTGGTACTTCTTTGAGCCATAGTTTCTCACAGTGAAATAGAAGTCAGGCCTTGCAGGATATTTTTTGTTGGGTTGTTATTGTTGTTTTTAAACTTTTTATTGGGAATTGAGTGAAGGTTTTCGGAGAAGATCATTAGTTTTACAGCCAACAAATCACATATTATTTCATCTTAATGATTCAATCCCCTCCTCACTTTCTCCCTGTGGTTCCTATTTCCATTCCACCTTCCTTCCCAACCCTTCTGAACCTTGTCCCCAGGTAAACGTTGCCCTTTTGCTCTTGAATGGTTAACCTTTCCCTGGGGAGCATACTTCACTATATACCTATCCACTGCTTGATTGAAAATTGGGCCATGAGGGTGAGTTTCATTGAAGAGCCATAATCTTGAGGTCCTTCAGTCTTTTTCTTACCAGTAAGCCTGGCTTTTTATAATTGTGAGTTTTGTTCCACATTGTCTCTCACTCTATCTATGACCTTCTACTCTGATCCCGTTCAAAGCACGTGGTAGTGGTTGCCAGGCACTATCTAGCTTTTTTGGTTTCAAAGTCATAGAAACTGATGTTCATATGTTCCATTAGTCTATTGGACTCGTTGATTCCAAGAGTCTTCGATTTTATCATTCTTCTTTCTTCACCACATGGAGACCTATAGTTGCCATTCATGAGCTTTTAAAATCCCAATCACTACTCACCAAACTAGGATGTAGAACACTGTCTTTTTGGACTATGTTACCTTGCAGGACTTTTGAGGGAGTTAAGCACAATTTATGTCAAGCAACTAGAATCTAATGATACTTGACAGTTTCTCATTTTTTATCATCATTATTAATATTATCTAAAAACCAGTCACTAAGTTATGTGCAAGTTAACTGGGAATTTGATAATTTGTTAGGATTTGCTTCTTCTACATGTAATTTCTCAATTTAGGACTTGCCTCAGATACCAGATTTTATCTAGCATGGAGCCTCTGTGTGTTCTTTAGCAAATACACCTCCCTAGTTTTGTTTTCCATTTTCTATTTCTATCCCTTTTGCCAGTCTTGCCTCTCTTCCTCCTCTGTGGCACTGCTCAGTACTGCTGGAAGACTCATATCCTAATAATTGGGACCAAAAAATAGGCCTCCAGGAGGTTTGGGTTTGAAGATCTGGACCTTTCCAGTTAAGATGAAACCTGTGGTTGTTTGGTGTTTTCTTGCCAGTACCTATAACTACCTGGGGAAGAAGACAAACCAGATGCTAGAGGCTTTTGAACAAAAGGACTTTTCTTCAGCTCTGAATTATCAGGTAAGCTTTTCCCTCCCTTCACAAAAATTATAGCCTTTTTCCTTCCTGCCTGAGAATGCTTATCCTCCTCTCTCATCAGCATTCCTACAATCTGCCCCCATTCAAATTACCTAATTGCCTCTTTCTTTAGTTTTTTTTCTGTCTCTTACTTTTTTATTATTTAAAACCAAGCCTGTCTTCATTGTACGTGTCTCCTACATGTTCAGTCAGAATAAGCCTGGTACAAGCATGACTCCTCTCTTATCCTCTGATCTTTTTTCTACTGTATTTTCAAAATACTTGTGTAATTATAAAATAATAGTGGCTGATTTCTGGGGAAGTGACCAGACTGCGACCCCTTGAGGACATCCCACCTGAGTCATTATCAGAGAATATGAAGAAGCTATGAAAATTGCGTTAAACTGGGAAGGCTTAATCCAAAACCAAAGCACTTCAGTCCTCTTCACCTTCGAAATGTGCTGAGAACTGAAACATCCACCAGGCAGGAAACACTCAAAAAAGGAGACACTGACTTTGAAACAAGAAGCAAAAAGCAGCAGGAGCTCATGTGTTGAAGGGACAACCCCAGGGGAAATGGTGTTACTATGGCATGGAGGCCAGCTTAGCACTCTGGGGAAAGAAAGGCCTCACTGAAGAGTAGATCCAGTCTTAACAGCTGGAGAGTAGAGCAGAAAGAAATTAGGTAGGTGCAAGAGGAAGACTTCTAGGGACCAAAAGACACAGGGATTTTCAGGCCAATAAAAGTGGCTGCAGGGAGCATCCAAAGAAAATAAGCAAAAGCAGCAAAGGTGACTGGTTCCAAGAAAGGTCAGATGAGGGATCTTTGTGACCAGGTTACTATCAGGGCATCAGCAGACATCTAAAGCATCCTGGGGCTAGAGGAAGTGACCTGGAGTTCCAGCCTGAGAGAAAATAAGAAAGTAGTAGCCTAAAGTGATTGCCTTATTCCCACTCTTCAGACCTGAAAGTTGCATCAGCCTAAGTCTTCCTTCTTAAAGTTTGAATTGAGCTTAATCTAACACTCACTTTTGTTCAGACCAAGTGAAGCTGAGAGCAGGAACAGGGTGGGGACTTAGGAAGCTATGGCAACCAAGCTAACGTTGGCTAGACTCTGGTTTAAATCAGGATAAGAATTCTGAGCTCTTCAGACTCTACCATTTCCTAAGTTTCCTAGAAAAAGTTCTTTCTAAAAATTCCAAACCTGTTCTGAGCTGAGTGACTAGAAAACCATAGGCTGAAGTGAACTAAATATCCAGGATATTGACTTGTCTATTTAGAGGTTTCTCTTTCTAGCTGGGCCCATTTCAATCTTTTTTTCCCAATTGTTGTTGTTGTTATGTGCCATGGAGTCAGTTCCAACTCACAGCAACCTTGTACAGGGTTTCTGAGGCTAGTCTCACACAAATAAATCATTCCATTCAGAACAATGTGGGTAAGGCATTTCATTTACCGTATTCTCTGCTTCTTAGAGAAGGCAGGTGTGATTGGGCCTCATTTATGTATTTGTATGCCAGGGGCTAGGCTTTAAAGTTAAAAAGGCAAAAATTATGTTATTCATTCTCATGGGCTTAAATGCCACCTGTTATATATCTGTAAGTGAAATGACACATGTACAAAGATAACTTCTTGCAGCATTGTTTATAATAGCAAAAGATAGAAACAGCCCAAATTCCATACATAGGGAAATGGCTGAATATATTGTTTGAGTTACACAATGGAATTCAGTACAGCCCTTTAAAAGAATGATAGCTTTAGATGCACTGATATAGAAAGATCTCCATGAAACATTAAATGGAAAAAACAGCAAAGTACAGAATAATGAAAGGAACCTGCTGTAGTTTGGACAGGGGTAAGGAAAGAATATATACATATACGAGAGGGTTTCAAAAAGTTGGTGGAAAATAGAATGAAAAGATAGTGGAATTTTTCCACCAACTTTTTGAAGCCCCCTTGAATATCTGTAAAGATCTGTACATTAAATTTTATTCTTCATTGAACTTTTATTATACAGGACATGGTAGAACTAATCCTTGGGGTTTCCAAGACAAATCTCTAGGGGAACAGACCACCTCGTTTTTCTCCTGCTGAGTATCTGGTGGGTTCAAACTGCCTACCTTTCAGTTAGCACCCCAACACTTAGCCTACTTACTGTGCCACCAAGGCTCCTACACAATTGATTAAAATAGCAGAAATGTATGATACATTCTGATAAGTAATTTTTTAGCATAAAGGAAAATAGAATTGAAAAATGCATCTCTCAATGAGATGGATGGGTCCTTCTTTTATATATACTAATAAGTTCATGAATTCATGGACTAATATTTCTTTATTCTGAGATGAGCTATGGATCAACATCAATATGTTCTTGTTGTTGTTAAATTCCTTCACGTTGGAACTGACTTATGCACAACAGAACGAAACACTTCCGGGTCCTTCACCAACCTCACCATCATTGCTATGCTTGAGCCCATTGCTGCTGCTGCCGCTGTGCCAATCCATGTCATCGGAGGTCTTCCTCTCTTGCACTGACCCTCCACTTTACCAAACATGATGTCCTGCACCAGGGACAATATAGATTGGTTTTTGTTTTGTTTTGTTTTTTAACTTTTTATTGTGAAGTCAGTGAAGGTTAACAGACAAGGCCATCAGCTTTACTTTCAAACAATCACACATTTTGTTTCATCTAAATTATTACAGTCCCCTCCCTACAACAACAATTATCTTGCTTCCTCCCTATGGCTTCCCTTTCATATCTTGTTTTCCACAAATTAACAAAAAAAAAATTAGATGTACACATACAAAACCACAAATACATATTCATTTAAATATCCAAAGGGTAAATTTTGCAAGCCAGCCTCTTCCTGCCCATAGGCACACAGCTTTTCTCAGTCCATGGACCTAGAGTCTGCAGTTGCTCCATCTCTCCATGCCACCAACTCTGCCACAGTCTCTGCTGTGGTCACTGTTCTACATAGGGATCTCATGCTCCACTCATGCTCTTCCTTCTTGATGGTCCTGGGACCATCTGTTCCTGAAATGAGAGATTATCTATTCCACCTTTTAAAAAGTTACATATCTACATTTACAGTTGTGACAATTGCAATTAATCCTGCTTAACAATTACTCACAATTGAATCATAAAATCCTATCCCCTCCCCTTTCACCAGATCCATCTGGAAAAGAGGAAAACTGTTCAGTGGGGATTCTACCTTACCCACCTCGTTCTGAAACTAAGCACACTCATGAAAGCCTGTAAGCCAGTCACTTAATGCCTTTTATGGTGGGGTGGTGGGGTGCTGTGGTGGTGATGGTGATGTGCCGTGGAGTCAGTTCTGACTCACAGCAACCCTGTACAGGGTTTCCAAGGCTGTAAATCTTCACGGGAGCAGAAAGCCTTCTCTTTCTCCCGTAGAACCACTGGTAGTTTCAAACTAGCTGACCTTGAGGTTAGCAGCCTGACTCGTAACCACTACGCTACCAGAGCTCCTTTAATGCCTTTATAGCTCCCCATTTTTTATAGCCAATGTCTAAATTGCCTGTCCCTATCAACCCAGTGCACTGAGAATGAGGGATATCATTGGATCTTGCCTGAAAGCAGAGAATATCAGAAAGATATTTACTTGTGCTTTATTGACTACACAAAGACTTTCAATTGTGTGGATCATGACAAGCTATGGACAATATTGTGAAGTATGAGTATTCCAGAACACTTGATTTTGCTTATGAGGATACTGTACCTGGACCAAGAGGCAGTTGTTCAAACAGAACATGGGAACACTGAATAGTTGAAAATAAAGAAAGGTGTGCAACAAGGTTGTATTCTTTCATCATACTTATTCAACCTGTATGCTGAGCAAATAATCCAAGAAGCTAAGTTATATGAAGAAACATGTGGCATCAGGATTGGAGGAAGACTCATTAACAACCTGCGATATGCAGATGATACAACCTTGCTTGTTGAAAGTGAAGAAGACTTAAAACATTTACTGATGAAGATCAAAGAGCACAGCGTTTGGTATGGATTACATCTCAATGTAAAGAAAACAAAAATCCTCACCACTGGACCAATAAACAACATTCTTATCAGTGGAGAAAAGATTGAAGTTGACAAGGACTTCATTCTTCTTGAATCAACTATCAACACTCACGGAAGCAGCAGTCAAGAAATTAAATGATGTATTACATTGGACAGATCTGCTGCACAAGACCTTTTTAAACTGTTGAAGAGCAAAAATGTCAACTTGAGGACTAAGGTGCGCCTGACCCAAGCCATGGCATTTTCAATAACCTCATATGCATGCGAAAGCTGGACAGTGAATAAGGAAGACCAGAGAAGAATTGATGCATTTGAGTTATGGTGTTGGAGGAGAATATTGAAAGTGCCATGGGCTGCCAAAAGAACCAATAGATCCGTTTTGGAAGAAGTGCAGCCAGAGTGCTCCTTGGAGGCCAAGATGGCCAAAGTTCGTCTCTCATACTTCAGACATATTGTCAGGAGGGACCAGTTGCTGGAGAAGGTAAGGTGGAGGGTTAAAGAAAAAGAGGAAGACCCCCAACAAGATGGATTGGCCAAGTGGCAGCATCGATGGACTCAAGCATGGCAACAGTAGTGAGGTTGACCCAGGATCGGGCAGTGTTTCGTTCTACTGGGCATAGGGTCTCTATGAGTCGGTACCGACTTGATGACACCTGACAACAACAACAACCTCACTCGTAGCATAGTGATTACAAATTGGACTGTGAACCACAAGGTCAGCAGTTCGAAACTACCAGCTGTTCTGCAGAAGAAAGATGAAGCTTTGTGTTCCCCTAAAGATTTACAGCCTCGGAAACCCTATGCAGGGTCACTATGAGTCAGAACCGCCTCCACAGCACATCACCACCACCACCACCATCACTGGAGCTCATTTTCTGCACACATTTTATAAAGCCTCTGTATGTATGAAACGACACCACCTTATCCTGAGGGAGTGTCGCCTTATTTTTCCCCTCTCTGACAGTTCTTCATGACGTAAGTTGTGCAGACTTTTTAGTGTGGGATTTTTGTCATTTGGCCTCTGAATTTTTTCACTGTTATGTTTAGTAATACTGACTATAAATTTGTTTTGCTTTTCTAGTTTTGCATCCAGAGATTTATCAACTTTGTGCTCAAACTAGGTAAGTGTTCCCTGCTTTGCCTACTGCAAGAGAGTCTAGAAAATCCAACTTTATGCCCACATTTAGAGCTCTGTTTCCAACACTAACTTTCAGGTCAGCCCTATAAAACAGTGAAATAAACCTTTTTGGATGGTCTTCAGTACTCTTCTCCATGTTAGCACTTTTTTTATTCCTACTCTCCTACCTCTCCACCACTCCCTCCGTTTAGTTGCCTCTGCTTATTAAAATTCTAGTGCCACACTCTGACTGATTTCAGCCTAAGCACTTGAAGAAGGCAGTCTGAATTAAGATCTTACTAAACTGAGTGACTGACAGCCCTCCCAAGAGTGTTTGTCATTGTAAAACAGTTTATTAACACAATTAAGCTTAAATGGATTGAGATTTGGATAACATGACAAAGTGAAAATTAGGAGAAATACAGAGAATCTGAATAGTAAAACCTCTCCAAAGTATCTTAAATATTATCCCATGACAAATGACAGATGCCACCATTTGCTCAATTCAGTTAGAAATTGACCCTTCCTGAAATTCTGGAAGAACTCCAGAAAAAGTCTGACATGTAGTCTTGGCAAGACTTCCCACCTCCTTTCAGAGCCTCTCTGCCTCTTCCTGGCAGCTTCTCCCTGGCCCCACCAGCCTCCTGTGTCCCTCATTCTGCAGGATTCTCAGCTAGCTTTTTCAGTCTCTCAATGCAGTGCTTCCCATTTGCATTGCCGGTTTCATGGTCTTTGTCATGTTTGTGTGCCACCAGTATCATCAGTTACTGAAAATTATTCCCTTCTCCTTAAAAATATGTTTCATGAAATTGTGGGTTTGCATATAATAGTTATATGATCCTGTGTTGCTGTTGTTAAGTGTTGTAGAGCCAGTTCTGGCTCATAGTGATCCTGTTTGGGGCTTCCAAGGAGCGACTGGTGGGTTTAAGCCTCCTTACAGTTAGCAAGTGTGCATTAAAATATACATTGATGCTTACACATCTATGGGACTGTATGCACATACACATCTCCTCCTCATTTATTGACTGTCTCCTTATCCGACAATTTCATATTTATGACAATAGTAAAAAAATCTTTCACACTATTTTGCACATTAATGTTATACATCTGTGAGTAACGAACACTAAGGTACAGAGTGAGCGTAATGCTGGCTGTGACGGTTAATGTCACGTGTTAGTGTGGCTGCGCCACAATTCTCAGTGATCTGGTAGTTATGTGATGATCCCCCATTATGTGATCCGATGTGACAAACCAATAAGAGGACTAAGGGCAGGAATGTTGTTGTTGTTGTTAAGTGTTGTCCAGTCATTTCTGATTCATAGCAACCCATATAGGGTTTCTGTAGAGCAGCTGGTGAATTTGAACCACCGACCTTGTGGTTAGCAGTCCAGGGCGTGCTGTTGTTGTAAGTGTTTTCGAGTCGGTTCCAACCCATAGTGACCCTGCATAAGGTTTTCAAGGAGAAGCTAGTGGGTTTGAACCTGCATAAGGTTTCCAAGGAGAAGCTAGTGGGTTTGAACCACTGACCTTGTGGTCTAGTGCATAATGCTGCAATGCCACACCAGCACTCCACCTTAACACCACCTTTAATCCCATTAGACCATGATCCCATGTAAGGGAGATTTCCAGGGGTGTGGCATACAACACGTTTTACTTATAAGAGATAAAAGGACAGGAAAGTGACCAGAGGAAGGAGACCTCCTAACACTAAGAAAGAAAAGCCAGGAGTGGAGTGTATCCTTTGGACATGGGATCACTGCACAGTGAAGCTCCTAGATGTAAGGAAGGCTTGATGCCAAGTCATGTGGAGCTCCAAGGAATGCTGGGCCTACCAATGCTGAAAGGAGTCAAGAAAGAACCTTTCTCCAGAGTCCACAGAGAGAAAGCCTTTCCCTACAGCCGACACTGTGAATTTGAACTTCTAGCCTACTAAAATTATGAGAGAGTAAATTTTTGTTTGTTAAAGCCATCCACTTGTGGTATTTCTGTTACACCAGTACTAGAGCACTAAGATATAGAATTTGGTAGCAGGAAAGTCGGGTGCTACCCTGACACCAGGTGTGGTGCTGTAAGATAAGCACTGGACTGCTAACCACAAGGTCAGCAGTTGAAACCCACCAGCCGCTCCTTGGAAAACCATATTTAGAGTTGCTATAAGTCAAAACCAACTTGACAGCACTTAACAACAGTAGATAACTGAGACATCAATCTTCACCAAAATTGCAATAAAATATATTTTAAATAAATATTCAGCTATTAAAATGTTAGAAGCACTAAAAGTTTATCTGATATACCACATTTGCAAGTTCATCTTGTATAGCAGCAGTGGTACTACGGCAGTTCTGTGAAACATTGCTCCAAATACTAGCTTAAAGGATTGACTCTTTCATGCCAGAGGGCCAGAGTATTTGCATTTTTAAAAAGGACTCTTGAAGATACTTTTTAGAAGAGCATATTTCAGTGAGACTTCCTTAGTGATTGTGGTTCTCTTGGTTTAGTCAAAGGGAGACTAAATAAACTTACATTCTTATTATGAAAGCAGCTGCCTATTCCATCTATTCATAACAAGCCTAAAAGTACCCATTTTGCATTCATCAAGCTATACTTATTTTAATTATGCTAATAGATTATTTGCAGTAATCAACTGTTACTGGTACTAAGTTAATTTAGCATAAGAAAATTAGACATTAGGCCCTGAAGGCAAAACTAATAGCCAACTAAGAAACCAAATCAGTTATTTTAAAAGATGAGGGTGGGAATTGTGATGACTAATTTTTACTAATGTTCTTTATATATTTGTTTTTGCTGTTGTCATTTCAAAACGTTTTATTGTGACTTGAGTGAAGGTTTACAGATTATCAATTTCACATTCAACAAATCATATTCTTTGCTTCATTACAATGATTGCAATCCCCTCCATGTACCAACAGTTAACAGTATGCACTTTAACTATCGTATTCCTCCCTGAGTCTCCCGCTACTTTCATCTTTCCTGTGCTAACTTCCCTCTTGTATATTGCCTGTAATGTTAAATGTGTCTACCCTCTAGCCCATAAATAATTTTCCACCCCTCCATCCCATAACCATCATAGATTTTTCCTTTTATTAAGAAAATCTTTTCTTAACATTACTCAAATATATTATTTGTCCTTTTGTGATTTTGTAATTTCACTCAGCATAATGTACTCCAGGTTTACCCATGTTGTGAGGTGTTTAATAGATTCATTCTTAGTTTTCAATGCATAGTATTCCATTGTGTGTATGTACCAAAGTTTATTTAACCATTCTTCTATTGATGGGCATTTAAGCTATCTCCATCTTTTTGATGTTTCTCTTGTAGACCTCATATTGAAGGATCCTGTTTTCTCCTCCATTCTGGTCTCTCTGTCTGTCTTAGGCTGGGTTTTCTAGAGAGGGAAAACATATGTATGTATATACATAAAGAGAAGTTTATTATCTTATAACTGTACAGTCCCTGGTCCGCAGTGGAAGAGAAAGAGAGTCCTTCCTGCATGTTCATTATATTTGGAGCAGGCTACACCTCCAACTTGATTGGCAACTCATAGCCTCTCACCATAGAGCAAACTATGCTTGTATTAGGTTTCATCACCATGGGAATAAGCACATCTCAATTGCTAAACCTCTGGAAATCCTGGCCTAGACGAGTTGATATAGAACCCTAACCATTACACTGTCTCTCCACTGGTGCATTTAATCTATTTACATTGTAATTATTGATAGGTATGAATTGATTATTGTCATCTCACCTGTGTTTTTTTGTTTATGCTGCTGGTTTCTTTGTTCCACATAATTTTCTGTGCTGAGTTCATTTTGTTTGTGGGTTTTCTTATTATTTTAATTTCCATTTTGTTAATGTATACTTGGAGCCCTGGTGTGGTGCTGTGGGTTAATGCACTGGACTGCAAAGTCATTTGAGCCACAAGGCCGGCGGTTCAAACTCACGAGTTGCTCCTCAGAAACCCTATACGGGGTCACTATGGGTCAGAACTGACTCGATGGCACTTAACAACAACAACAATGTGTACTAAATCTTTCTGATTTTTCTCTTCATTTTTATGTGCACATATAATAATTTTCTTTGAGGTTACGCTATAATTTGTTAATTATTCCCCCTATTTAAAACAGTCTGTTTTATCTTGAAATCTGTTTGACTTC